AGTCACAGCATGATGAGACCCTATGGAGGGTGCCTGTCTCTCTATCCTATGCATGTCTGTATTCTCATGAAAGAAAGAAAATAAACCGTTTTTTAAAAGTATATAAAATATTAAATAAAAAAATATACTGCTTAGGTTATAAGTGCTGCTGGGTCTCCCCCCCACCCCACAGGTCCATTCCCTCAGGAATGAGATATTTATTCCCACAGCTTGAGGGAATTATTTTTTTTTTCAAGTATCACTTTTTCTTTTTTTTAAGAATTATTTCATTTAACTTTATTTATTTATTTAAATTTAACCAGAGAGGGACACAGAGAGAGAGAGAGAGAGAGAGAGAGAGAGAGAGAGAGAAAGTGTGAAAGCAAGCTGCCAGGTCTGTGACTCGAACCGTGGTCGGCCATGTGGAAGTCCAGAGCCCTTAACCACCACACCACTTGCCAGCCCAAGTATCACTTTTGAATCTCCTCTTTGGGACTTGCCCTCAGCCTAAAGGAGCACTGACTTAAGGTCACTCCCTCACTGTGGGGAGAGAGGCCAGAATCCTATGGGTGTTCAGTGCCAGAGTACACTCAGCCTTCAGGCAGCACAACTCTGAGGGGTCATCCTAGCTCAGAGCCTCCGTGGATCTGCTGAGGTCTTTGCTGGGACTACATCATCCCCATTTGATTTTTCTTGGTTGATTTTTGCCCAGATGGATGCACACAATTGCCTAGGATGGCAGGGGGAGGGAGGGCAAAGGGAAGGTGAGAAAGCACCCTGTATAGGGAGTGGTAATACCTCAATCTGTTCTCCTCCATTTCTCCCTCCTTTCAGGATTTTGGGCACACACGCACACGTGCCCAGAGTTTATCTTTTCTTTTCTTTGTAGAGGTTTTTACCTTAGGGTGTGTGTGATTGCCGGAGACAGACAGAGAGACAGTGAAAGAGAAAATGAGATATCCCCCCAGGGGGGATGGCCATGCTGTAATCCCCTCTCCTACATTTTCCTCCTGGGATCTTGGGCACTCATGCATATGCACCCGGCATGAGTTTTAAGTCACTGGGCCTGGAACTCAAACCACGGTTGGCCATGTGGGAGCCCAGCAATGTAATGGCTATGCCATCTTTTGGTCCCAGTGTCTGGCATTTTTCAAGCCACTGGGTACGGGACATGAACCACACTGATAGTCGTACGGGATCCAACCACTTTAACCACTGTGCCACAGGCTGGCCCACCTAGCTGCCTGTCTTCACTCCCCAGAGGTGTTGATTCCAAGGGTATTCAGTACTCCTGAGAAAACCTCCTGCATAGAAGCTTCTACTCAGAGTTTATTGCCCACAGAACCCAAGACATCACATTAATGTTGTATGTTCATACATACATCATTTTATGGTTGGTATGTCAGAGTTGCTTACAGTTTAGTGTTTGCAGAGAATTTGATGAGGGTGATGATGGTGATGACAGTGATAAAAGCTACAGGGTATGCACCAGGGTCTCTGCATAGAATTTCATATGTATGCACATTTCATTTAGCCCTCACACCCCTTTAAGGCAGATACTATTTTCATAATAGTTAATAAATTGGAGATCTAATGACTTGTCAAGACCATACAACAAATAAAAGGTAGAACTGGGGTCAGCAGGTGGCATGGTGGTTGTGGCCGACCTCAGTTCAAGTCCTAGAACGGTGACTTGAAACTCACTCGAGGTGCATGTGCATGAGTACGCAAAATCCTCAGAGGAGAATGGAGGAGAAGGGAGTGTGGTGTGGCCATCTCCCCTGGGGATGATTTCTCAGTCTCTCTGTCTGTCTCTGTCTGTCTCTCCGGTGAGTACACACGCCCTATAGCAAACATCTCTCTTAGAAAAATAAATAAATAAAAAGTAGAATTACGTCTAGACTCTAACTGCTTTTAAGCTAAAGTCTGAGTTCTTAATCATCCTCATATATTGTTTTCCTCAGACTTACTCATTTAGTTTTCTATGATTTAAAAGAAAAAAAATCATATGCGTATAGTTCAACTATATGCTTATTATTAACTTGTTAGAAGAAGTTAAAATAAGAACTTCTATTAGTACAGTTAAATAAGAATGAGAAAGGAAAACTAAATCTTATCAGGTCCCATTTTAAGAGATAATTGGATTAAATATTTGTTTTTATCGGTTACATAATCGCAAAGAGAACTGCTGTTGGAAGTCTATGAAGTCAACCAAAGCCAGATGCTGGTCCCAACAACGGTCATAAATGCTGTGACTTTATCAGAAGTTGCAGAATAAGGTCAAGATTTACTAGATATTCTCAAGATTGCTTCGTAGCTACAAAGAAGAGCTAATAAACTTTTAAAATCAATAAACATTTGGGAACCAGCAGTTAGCGTAATGGCTATGTCGCTGGATCCCCATGTAGTCAACCGCGGTTCGGGTCCCGGACCCTGTGGCTTAAAACTCACGCCGGGCGCGTGTGCGTGCGTGCCCAAGATCCCGAGAGGAGAATGGAGGAGAAGGGATTGCGGCGTGACCATCCCCCCTGGGGGGTGATTTCTCGCTTTCTGTCTCTTTGTCTCTCTCTGTCTGTCTGGCGAGCGCACGCGCCCTACAGTGAAAATCTCTTCAAAAAAAAAAAAAAAGAAAAAAAAAATCAATAAACATTTAAGGGACACACAAGTGAAAAATGATCGGTTGTTGATAATATCTTTAACTGGACTCACATACAGTGTATTCATGCTGGGAAAATTCACTTTATAAGTTGTAATGATATACAGTGATTGAATTAATAAAAAAAATTCCATGTAGGGGACCCTATGAAACAGACAGAGAGACAGTGAAAGAGAAAATGAGATATCCCCCCAGGGGGGATGGCCATGCTGTAATCCCCTCTCCTACATTTTCCTCCTGGGATCTTGGGCACTCATGCATATGCACCCGGCATGAGTTTTAAGTCACTGGGCCTGGAACTCAAACCACGGTTGGCCATGTGGGAGCCCAGCAATGTAATGGCTATGCCATCTTTTGGTCCCAGTGTCTGGCATTTTTCAAGCCACTGGGTACGGGACATGAACCACACTGATAGTCGTACGGGATCCAACCACTTTAACCACTGTGCCACAGGCTGGCCCACCTAGCTGCCTGTCTTCACTCCCCAGAGGTGTTGATTCCAAGGGTATTCAGTACTCCTGAGAAAACCTCCTGCATAGAAGCTTCTACTCAGAGTTTATTGCCCACAGAACCCAAGACATCACATTAATGTTGTATGTTCATACATACATCATTTTATGGTTGGTATGTCAGAGTTGCTTACAGTTTAGTGTTTGCAGAGAATTTGATGAGGGTGATGATGGTGATGACAGTGATAAAAGCTACAGGGTATGCACCAGGGTCTCTGCATAGAATTTCATATGTATGCACATTTCATTTAGCCCTCACACCCCTTTAAGGCAGATACTATTTTCATAATAGTTAATAAATTGGAGATCTAATGACTTGTCAAGACCATACAACAAATAAAAGGTAGAACTGGGGTCAGCAGGTGGCATGGTGGTTGTGGCCGACCTCAGTTCAAGTCCTAGAACGGTGACTTGAAACTCACTCGAGGTGCATGTGCATGAGTACGCAAAATCCTCAGAGGAGAATGGAGGAGAAGGGAGTGTGGTGTGGCCATCTCCCCTGGGGATGATTTCTCAGTCTCTCTGTCTGTCTCTGTCTGTCTCTCGGGTGAGTACACACGCCCTATAGCAAACATCTCTCTTAGAAAAATAAATAAATAAAAAGTAGAATTACGTCTAGACTCTAACTGCTTTTAAGCTAAAGTCTGAGTTCTTAATCATCCTCATATATTGTTTTCCTCAGACTTACTCATTTAGTTTTCTATGATTTAAAAGAAAAAAAATCATATGCGTATAGTTCAACTATATGCTTATTATTAACTTGTTAGAAGAAGTTAAAATAAGAACTTCTATTAGTACAGTTAAATAAGAATGAGAAAGGAAAACTAAATCTTATCAGGTCCCATTTTAAGAGATAATTGGATTAAATATTTGTTTTTATCGGTTACATAATCGCAAAGAGAACTGCTGTTGGAAGTCTATGAAGTCAACCAAAGCCAGATGCTGGTCCCAACAACGGTCATAAATGCTGTGACTTTATCAGAAGTTGCAGAATAAGGTCAAGATTTACTAGATATTCTCAAGATTGCTTCGTAGCTACAAAGAAGAGCTAATAAACTTTTAAAATCAATAAACATTTGGGAACCAGCAGTTAGCGTAATGGCTATGTCGCTGGATCCCCATGTAGTCAACCGCGGTTCGGGTCCCGGACCCTGTGGCTTAAAACTCACGCCGGGCGCGTGTGCGTGCGTGCCCTAGATCCCGAGAGGAGAATGGAGGAGAAGGGATTGCGGCGTGACCATCCCCCCTGGGGGGTGATTTCTCGCTTTCTGTCTCTTTGTCTCTCTCTGTCTGTCTGGCGAGCGCACGCGCCCTACAGTGAAAATCTCTCCAAAAAAAAAAAAAAAGAAAAAAAAAATCAATAAACATTTAAGGGACACACAAGTGAAAAATGATCGGTTGTTGATAATATCTTTAACTGGACTCACATACAGTGTATTCATGCTGGGAAAATTCACTTTATAAGTTGTAATGATATACAGTGATTGAATTAATAAAAAAAATTCCATGTAGGGGACCCTATGAAGAAGGGGGGGGTCTTTAAAAAGTCCAGGAAAGATGCTTATTATGGAAAAACATGTTGGTATTTCAAAACTTCTTTGCACCAAAATCAATGTGTACTTTAATTACATTTTCCATAAATTTTCTGAAGTCTTCTTGTACAGCTTACTACAAAGCAGACTGATATTAATTTTGAAAAGATGAGAATATGGTGATCATGAAACCTCATATTTTCATAGTTTGATAGTTTCATTTGTCTCCTCCCTCTGAATAGCCTTTCTCTCAATTGCTCTGATGTCACTTAAGAATTCAAAATTTGATCTATAAAAATAATAAGATAAAATTGGGAACCTTACCTGTCCGATAATAAGAGGAACCACCACAGTCATAAAAAGCTGAGAAAAAATTGATGAAAAAGGCACAGAAGAAGATGAACCAAGCTGTAAAACAAGAAAGTTGGAATCACTTTGAACCAGTTATCAAACATCGTTGTCAATTAAATAATACAATAAGTAAATTCTCTCCTATGCACCAGAAGTTTGATCGCTATTTACAAAGAGTAAATGAAGTTATCTCTAATTTTCTAAATTTAAAATCAAATAAGCTGTTAAATTTTTCTTTTCTTCTTCACCCCTTCCTCCCCCTCCCTCCCTCCCTCCCTCCCTTCCTTCCTCCCTTCCTTCCTTCCTTCCTTCCTTCCTTCCTTCCTTCCTTCCTTCCTTCCGTCCTTCCTTCCGTCCTTCCTTTACCCCCTTTCAGCGTGTAGTCAAAATGATGCCACAAATGTATGTCTTGCCCCTTGGTGGCTCTGCATTCATTTGATAAATGGTTGGCCTGTGGCAGGCAACTTAACCCATAAAAGTTGTAGTCCTTAATCCTTTTCCTCTGTAATCAATAAAAACTAAAGAAATGAAGAATTGGGCAAAAAAAAAAAAAAAGTGAAACTAGTGAAAAACGAACAGGATTCCTGGTGTGTAAACATTATGTGGCTGTTAGAGGTTTCTTGTGTTGCAAAACCAAAGTATTAAAAGTTAATAATTCCCTCTACTATAGAGCAACTGTGTCTTTGAAGAAAAAGGTGCTTAACAAATACATTCTCTCCACAAATATTAAACCTAAGGATATTCCTGGTGCAAGGACTGAAATAAAGAAAAAAATATAATGTACAGAGAAATCAAGGCACTAAGTGAATAGAAAAAGAAACTTCAAAGAACAAAGTTTTCAAGTTCAAGAAACACCAGCTTGGTGCTCTGTATTCAAAATGTTTACAATGTTGGCAGAGACAGTGGGATTCAGTTATTCATCATGTGAAAGGTGAGTTCCTGCCAAAATCTAATGAATGGTCTGGCTCCTGTTTCTTTTCTTTTCAACTCTATTAATGTATTTTAAAATGTTTAGGGCCAGCCAGTGGCATTGTGGTTAAAGTGGCTAGGTCCCACATGGTCAATTGCAGTTCAAATCTCAGACCCAGCTGCTTGAAAACATGTCAGATGTGTGTATGCATGCCCAAACTCCTGAGAGAAGAAATGGAAGAAAAGGGATTGAGGCATGACCATTTCCCAAGGAGGGTGATTTATCTCTCATGCTCTTTCTGTCTCTCTCCTCCAAGCACATATGTTCTCTAGCAAATTAAAAAACGTTTAATGAATAAACATATCAAAGTTATATAAGGGGACTTCAAAAAAATCATGGAAATTTTGAATTAAAATACAAGTTTATTTTAGCACAAATAATTTTTAACACTATGCATCATTTTTTCATGATATGTATTTTCCATGAACCTTTTGAAGACCCCATGTATTTCCTTTGTAAGCCCATAAAAATAAAGAAAACCCACCTCGACTTCAGTAGAAAAGAAAAACATTATGTATTTCACTGTATGTATACCTTTAAAAAGTATACTGCAGCCCACAAAGATAAACACTGATTATATGTAAACAAAAAATCATCATTTCACAATTACGTATTTTAATTTTTTCATCTGTCACATTACAGACCATTGGTGTGGAGGAGAGTGAAATAAGGCTCTAGGTTGAGGACTGAGGAGGCTACTGTGATCTCCAAACTCCTTCTGTCCTCTATAACCAGTTTCCAGTCTTTTTGAACCAGGAACCAGTTTTGTGGAAAACAATTTTTTCACAGATAGGGGTGGGATAGTTTATGAGGGTGCACAACTGAGATCCCTTGCATGTGTAGTTCACAGCAGGGTTTGTGCTCCTATGAGAATCTGATGCCTTCACTGATCTGACAGAAGGTGGAGCTTGGGCAGTAATGCGAGCAATGGGGAGTGGCTGTAAATACAGATGACGCTTCACTCACTCGCCTGCCACTCATGTCCTGCTGTGCGGCCCAGTTAACAAGCCGAGAACTGGTCCTGGTCCATGGCCTGGGAGTTGGGACTGAGGTTCTAAAACACCCATGATCTCTGATCTACTTGACTAGAAACACAGGTTGGAGCAGCCCTCCTACAAGGTTCTGTCAGATCAGAGGCAGAGCCGGCCAGCCAGAGAAGTAATTAACTGGGTCCACAAAGCCAGACAAGGTGCAGCAGGGATGCTGGGGGAGAAATCCCACAGGATGGCTCCCTTAGAAGTGGCTTGGAAAGGAGGGAGACTATAGGACTGGAGTCTAATTTGGCATAGGTCTTTTCTTTTCATCGGCCACCAGACCTGTCGCTGTGGTCAGTGTGAAGACGCAGAGATGCCCTTGGGGAAGTTTCTCATGCTGCGAAGTATGCCCTGGCACGCAGAAGAAAGAAGAACGAGCATCTGGCACAGGACAGCATGTGAGGCCGTAACCAGAAAAGTCCAGTCATCTTGTGTGCAGAGCTGATCTTAACTAAAGCCGAAGGAAAGATGCTGCCTGGGATAGCTGGTTCTTCATATTTTAATGAGGAAGCTGTTAGGGTTTCTATTGTAAAGAGCAATGTGTTTATAAGAACATCAATAATTTGCAGGTCAAGTCTGCAAGTTCAGAATGTGCTTGTATCAAACAAGCACTTCACTGAGATATCCTGCCAGGTTAAGAGGTATTATGTTTCATTTTGCCAACCCATGCCTTAAAACACAGCATGCAAAGCAAACGATCTGAGCATTGACTAATTTCTTGGAGGAATATAGTAGTCTAAAGTAGAAAACCCACAATTAGGTTGGTTGGTTGATTTTAATATCTTACATTGGAAAGAAATGATTCATGAAAGTTCAGTATGTGGGAATTTAGGACTTTTGTGTTCAATCATTCAGATAGTTCCTGTGTGCTCCCTGTGTGTCAGAAGTGTGTTCCAAGCTCTAGGGATACAGTAGTGGACCAAACACAAATGGTTCTTCCTTTTTTTTTTTTTTTTAAGAGTTTTTTTTTTTTTGTCTTAGGATATGTGCACTCACTGGAGAGAGAGACAGACACAGTGAGAGAAAATAAGAAAGCACTCCCCAGGGTGTGATGGCCATGCTGCAATCTCTTCTCTTCCATTTTCCTCCTGGGATCTTGGGCACACACGCACACATGCCTGGCATGATTTTGAAGCCACCAGATCCAGGGCTTGAACTGCTGTCGGCCATATGGGAGTCTAGCAACATTAGCTGCTATGTTATCTGGCAGCCCCCCAACCCCTTCTCCTGGGAGCTGCTTTTTAAAATAAAATTTAAAAAAATTTGTTTTAAATAAAAAAAAAAGAAAGAAGAGAAAAAACATAACAAAAAAAAAGAAGTTCTAGTGCTGGATCTGGTGGCTTGCTTTCTCACTTTCCCTTTCTCTCTCTGGTTAAATTTAAAAATAATAATAATAAACAAAACTAAATAAACAATTCTTAAAAAAAAAATCTAAGGTCTGGGGTCCAGCAGGTGGTGTAGGAGTTAAGGTGCTGGACTCCCACTTAGCCAACTGCAGTTCAAGTCCCAGACCAAGTGATTTGAAACATGCCAGGCATGTATGCGTGCATGCCCAGAATCCTAGAAGGAGAGTAGAGGAGAAGAGATTGTGGCATGGCCTTCCCCCCAGGGGGTAATTTCTCACTTTCTGTCTCTCTGTCAAGCACATGCACCTTATAGCAAAAACCCCTCAAAAAAAAAAAAAAAAAAAAATGTTAAGGTTTGGGTCAGCTGGTGGTGACTAGGGTAGCTGGATCTCACGTGGCTGCCTGTGTAGGTTGGGTCCTTGGCCCCACAGTCTTTTTCTGAGTCTCAGTTTAAGCTTTACTTTTTTAGGAATTCTTTCTAAATCCTCTTCCCCACATGCTGAATTGGCCACTTCCTCTGCTGTGAACCACTGTCCTCTGTGCACTTATCAGACCTTTCAGAATCCTTGGCTGTTCTTGTTTACAAATTTGTGTCTCCCAGAAGGCTATATCTCTGAAAAAAATGGGGACACTGGACAGGCTTACTCACATGTATATGCTCAGTGCCCAGCAGAGAGACTATAAAGTAGGCAGTGACTCAAATGTAGGCGGCAGTTATCACATTTGAGCACATCAGACACATCTGGGGGGACTGGTTAAAGCACAGCTTGCTTGGGCCAGCCTTGGAATTTCTGACTTAGCTTGGGGAGAGTGATTGGAGTTAAGCGTAGTGAGAATTGGCATTCCTAACAGGTCCCGGGTGGTTCTGCTGCATAGCTGGGGTCCACACTTGGAGAACCACTACTCCATACACAGTAGTTGCTTAATGAGTATGTGCCAGTCAGTGAGTGACTGCACTATACAGGTAAAAAAAGAAGTTTGACTATATTTTCTTCCCCTTCTTCCAACTTCATTTAGGTGAGTTACAGAGCTCCACTTAATTCACAGACCCAAGAGAAGATCATCAGCCTGGCTGTCCGCCCTGTTGTCTCTTATCATCACATGACAACATTTATTGTGCACATCTATGGTGCCAGACACTGCTATAAATGCATAATGTGTGTTGAATAATTTGCTCCTCACAGCAACCCCTTGAGGAGGGTCTTGTTGTTACCCCCATTCTCTTAGGAGGCAACAGAACACTTAAACACCTTGGACAAGGTCACCAAAGCTGGAAAGTGACTGCAACAGGATCTCAACCCAGAAGTAGTTCCAAAGCCCTCAACTGAATCCTTGTACTCTACCGTATGTTAATTACAGATAGTGCAGAGCAGTGGGAGTGGGCCAGGAGGCAGGAGAGGAAGCCATAGCTGGGCTTATATTTTCTTGCCTATGGGCAAGAAAGAGAGAGAGAGAATGAAGGAGAGAGGAA